AGCACGGTGACCTATATATATATATACATATATTTTTTTTTTTGCATAATTTTGGTGCAAAATTTTTCCACTTTAAATTGGGGAAATTAAAAAAAATTATTCCTTAAGAAAAAAAAGATAAGGCTAAAAGCGTGCACGAAGCCCATTACTCGAGGATGCAAATTATAACCTTGAAAGGAACGACTCGAGGAACATGTTTAAATTTGCGTGATTTTCCCGAAATTACATATCAATTGTGCCATGCGCTGGACACTTTCTACCAATCAAGATTTTTTTACATGTGTTACTTTAAAAACCCAGTGCAGAAAAACGTACCGTTAACCGATGAAATGACGCGCGTGATTAGTACCAGTACAGGTATAAGTGGGGTAAGTTTGGCTTATCATCCAAAACAAGCATGGTGACCTATCCCTTTTATTGTAATTTCGAAAGAGACATTGGTAAGGAACGTTTAAGGAAAGTTTAAAAAATTACTTGTATGTTCGGTTACTTTTTTTCTTTGAGGAATCACCTTAATCGACAACAAAAACCTCTGCTTTATCCTTTACAAAAAGATAATTACCAACGGTATTTGTTTTTATCAGAAAGGTTGTATTTGAACTAAGCAAGTGAAAGGATGAATAAATTAATAAATAAATAAATAAGAAAGTGAGAGAGCAACAGCTAAATGAATGAATGAACGAAGAAATAATGAAACTAAATGGTAAATTTAGAATTTTTGTTTCAAAATTTTGTGCATTAGAAACTACTTTATATTTGATTTGTTCTTTTTTAGCAGTTTTCTTCATCAATTTGTTTCTCTTGATATTTAAATTTTAAGTCTTGATGAACTTAAGGTTTCATATACATTTATTAGAACTTAGGTAGTATCTAATAACACCAGCAAATCTTTATTCTTCTTGCATGTTCTTTGTTGAAATTTATATTTTTGAACATTTGCTTTAATTATCTTTTTTTTCCCCAATCCTGGTCCCCCTGTTAATGAAAGCGCTTGCCTTGTAGCTTATTTAGAAAATTGTTGGTTGGAAAGGTGAGTGACATCAACATTATTAATTAAGATTTAGCACTTCTGAGTTTTATATTTGAAGGAAGGATGTTTAAATCATTCTCCAAAACTAAGGAATTCTTAGATGTAATTCATCACTTACAGATGTTCAAGCTTCTTTAAACCTTGGAAAAGTCCTTGGGGCAGATTTTTAATTTCGTTGTTTGACAGATCCCTGAAAGCAATCGTTTATTTCATGAATCGCAACAGAAACAGATCCTGCTTAGCCCGGGGAATAGTGAAACCAAGTGCTCTTTGTCTAATGGGTAAGACTGATTACTTTCGAGGCCAAGCTAGAAAGCAGACGTTTGCATTACTTTTGGTCATTGCTTTGACCTGGATACGTTTAGGAATTGATAGGTTAAGAGGCAAAAAGAAAACCTATGCTCGTTATGGCTAAGAAGGTAACGAAACTTGACCTGCCAGCCCCCAAAGTTACTGTTAGTAAATACGTTGTTGATGATATTCAAACTGGGCACTGGGCTCTTTTACATTTGCAACAGGGTTTGGAGAGGTAGAGGGGGGAGGGCTTCAGAGGCTCACGCTTCCCCCCCCCCCTTCACTGCACTAAATAGATTGATAGTTTCCTAACATCTGAGTGTAGATTGATTTGCTTTAATGCGTATTTCATCATGATTTTTTCCAAATTTTAAGGAAATAAAACCGAAAAACTAAGCCTTTTTCTTAAGTCAGAATGGCATGTTACAATATTTGCAGTGTACATATTTGTTCATGGTGTTATTTAAGAATAACAATTTTATTTCCCCTTTCCATTTTCAGTCAGTCTAACTTGACAAATTACGACTTTTCAGGAGGTAGAAATATAAGATCAAAGGGCTTTTAGATTTAATCTTCAACGCATTCACTCACGTGTCATTCAAACTGATTAAATCTGTGAACAGTTCTGGGGTTAGCTTCTTCAGTTTGTTGTTACGCAACCACCTATAAGAGTGGCAAGAGAATCAATGGATATCCAGACAGATAAACACACTGAAACGAGAAGCGGGGAAAACGGAGGGAGAGATATGCGGAAAGACAGTATAAAAATAGGAAAAACAATCTAGATAAAGGTTAAGAATGGACTAACAGAGGATAACGACAGAGAGACTCAAAAAAAAATTGGGTAAAGGTTATAGATGATTTAACGAGCTGGTTTGCAGCCTTTAACATCATTTGGAAGGATTAATGAGAAGTATAAAAGTCTGATCATAGAACAGCCTTTGCAAGCTGGCTTGTCATAAATTGTAATTTCCCTATTAGTCTTCTTGCCCTGCAGTGAAAAATCGTTAACGTCTGTCGTCAGGATTTGCTTTTACAAGTTTAAATCCCATGCCAGAAAGTTCCTTTAATCATAACGTTATTAGAATCTTAAAAAGGTCTCACTTACAGCCTTGTTAAATTCTTCATTCCTCGAAACAGGTTATCAGTTAATTCGTTGAGATTGTTGTCGGACAACTCTCTGCATTGTTCATAGAAATAAAACAGAAAACAAAAATAATGGTACCATAAATGTCTTAAACCTGTGAGTAACATTTGATCATTTATTCTGATCGTCCGGGTGAGGGAAGTGGTGAATGACGCTTGCACAACCTCAGCAGAAGTCTTCATTAGAGACTAGTGAAGAGTTGTTGTCAGTCGAGCTGTTTATAGTCCGGTTCGTGCATACTGATTGGTCAGTTTTTCCATGGTGTTATTGTCTGCAAGACTCGAGTACCCGTTAGTCGGTCGTAATTGGTCGGCTTCGATCCGTCGTTAAAGGTCGTTCTCTTCGGTTCTATTTGTCTGCAAATACCGTGAATAAGACGTTTGTATGATATTGGCAGTTTTAGACATCTTTTGAGGGAAGTCTGTTCTAAGGTAGTAAATCTGCTGGCCAGAATCTGTCGTCGTAAGTAGTTGAAGCTGTAGGTCAGGAATTACGTAGAGTCCCAGTTGATAGTGTCTTCATAGAGTGAATAATGTTCAGCGATGTGAATTTTGACGTCACCAATTATTGCCTCTCGTTTGTGTCCAGTCATGCGGTTGTTTTTGAAGTTTTTCCGATAAAGGATACTTGCAGTATGAGCAGTTGATCTTATAAAAGCTCCCTGTCTGTTTTCTGGCTTGTCCTTGTCTCTGACTTTGGTTAGGAACTGATGTAGCGTAGATATCTGTAGGCGACGCACGTAAGACCTTCACTCTTTCTTTCTCTTCATTTCTTCTGCATTCGCACCTCGCGAGGCTGCACGGCTTTTTGGCCTTACTCAAGTCGTCGCTACAGCCCTTATATGGGGATTTTTGTCTTATGTTCTTAATTAAAAGGCCGCAGGGCCGCAAGGACTATCAACGCTAACTGCTAACTAACCCAACGTGAAACTAGCTGGAAGTAATCAAGAGGGAAAATAAACACATCAATGTAAATCACAAAAGAATTCAAACTTCTTTGCCGGGATGTCTAGAGGAATATTAGTTCCTCGTAAATCCAGTGAACCCAGCTTCAGTCGTTCGATCACTGACTGACGCACTTTTCCTTACTCAGAAGAGAGGAAAAGATAAAGGAAATCTATATGGAATGATTGTCTGAATCTAGGACCTTTTTTATATTCACCTCTGGTCTAATATATCGATCGCTGTTGAGTACTATACAGCTTCAGTAACTATGAAGAGTAATTCGTTTTCTACTTACAGCCACTCTAGGTTTTTATTTTCCTTGAAAATAATCGGTGGTAGTTGACTGAGCTGGTTAACGGACAAGGACCTGTAAAATATTTTTTAAACAGTTACCCCATACCTTAAATGGTTAAGTTTTAAGGTGCACAATTAAGAACTGGAAAATTAGTTCGAATACATCAGTTCTCTGACCTTTAGAATTCATTTCAGGGAAAAACGTGTTATCATATTCTTGGTAAGCACAGATCATTTAGATTTTTATGACGTAGGATTCAACGTTTGCATGAGAACGTTAGCATTGATGAAAAAGTTTTCAACTGAAAATTGCGAGTTACAGGTATTTACAGTTTTCTCAGGGAGGTAAGGTTACCAAATATCGTAGAAGGAAGGCTTTGCAGTTTGTTGGCGTGTAACCACCTGCAGTTAGTTTAAGGTGAAAATAAGCTTCTACCATCCTCACTTTGAATCCTCATTTTAGCTTTCATGTCTTTGTAATACGATTTCCAAATATCCATTTAAAATATAAGAAAAAAACGCGTAGAAAGTGAATGTTGTAGGCAATACTAAAGAAACATCCTGCATGGTAATTTCTTTAAGAGTAATTTGTTTACGAGTCATTGTATCACTGGGAGAGAAAGATGGCGATGGATGCGATAAAACTTGACAAATGCAGATTCGTAAAAGAATTGAAAAAAGTCCTCGATAGGAATTGCCAATTAGTTGGCATGAATACTATTAGGCATGTATAGTGAGCGTGAGAATACTCTCAAATCTACAAAGCTAACTAAATATGTCTTTAAAAAAATATGTAAAATTATGCGCATATGAATAGAATGCAACAGCTAAATGAATGAATGAACGAAGAAATAATGAAACTAAATGGTAAATTTAGAATTTTTGTTTCAAAATTTTGTGCACTAGAAACTACTTTATATTTGATTTGTTCTTTTTTAGCAGTTTTCTTCATCAATTTGAAGAATTGATATTTAAATTTTAAGTCTTGATGAACTTAAGGTTTCATATACATTTATTAGAACTTAGGTAGTATCTAATAACACCAGCAAATCTTTATTCTTCTTGCATGCTCTTTGTTGAAATTTATATTTTTGAACATTTGCTTTAATTATCTTTTTTTTTCCCCAATCCTGGTCCCCCTGTTAATGAAAGCGCTTGCCTTGTAGCTTATTTAGAAAATACATCAACATTATTAATTAAGATTTAGCACTTCTGAGTTTTATATTTGAAGGAGGGATGTTTAAATCATTCTCCAAAACTAAGGAATTCTTAGATGTAATTCATCACTTACAGCTTTTCAAGCTTCTTTAAACCTTGGAAAAGTCCTTGGGGTAGATTTTTAATTTCGTTGTTCGACAGATCCCTGAAAGCAATCGTTTATTTCATGAATCGCAACAGAAACAGATCCTGCTCAGCCCGGGAAATAGTGAAACCAAGTGCTCTTTGTCGAATGGGTAAGACTGATTACTTTCGAGGCCAAGCTAGAAAGCAGACGTTTGCATTACTTTTGGTCATTGCTTTGACCTAGATACGTTTAGGAATTGATAAGTTAAGAGGCAAAAAGAAAACCCATGCTCGTTATGGCTAAGAAGGTAACGAAACTTGACCTGCCAGCCCCCAAAGTTACTGTTAGTAAATACGTTGTTGATGATATTCAAACTGGGCACTGGGCTCTTTTACATTTGCAACAGGGTTTGGAGAGGTAGAGGGGGGAGGGCTTCAGAGGCTCACGCTCCCCCCCCCCTTCACTGCACTAAATAGATTGATAGTTTCCTAACATCCGAGTGTAGATTGATTTGCTTTAATGCGTATTTCATCATGATTTCTTCCAAATTTTAAGGAAATAAAACCGAAAAACTAAGCCTTTTTCTTAAGTCAGAATGGCATGTCACAATATTTGCAGTGTACATATTTGTTCATGGTGTTATTTAGGAATAACAATTTTATTTCCCCTTTCCCTTTTCAGTCAGTTTAACTTGACAAATTACGACTTTTCAGGAGGTAGAAATATAAGATCAAAGGGCTTTTAGATTTAATCTACAACGCATTCACTCATAGGTCATTCAAACTGATTAAATCTGTGAACAGTTCTGGGGTTAGCTTCTTCAGTTTGTTGTCGCGCAACCACCTGGCGATGGATGCGATAAAACTTGACAAATGCAGATTCGTAAAAGAATTGAAAAAAGTCCTCGATAAGAATTGCCAATTAGTTGGCATGAATAATATTAGGCATGTATAGTGCGCGTGAGAATACTCTCAAATCTACAAAGCTAACTAAATATGTTTTGCGGTAATTTTGTCTTCTTTTTTTTTGATAACCTTGTTTGTTGGCCGTAAGGCCGGTTTTTATCTACTATATCACCCATAGTGGTGCCATTTACGCGATTATTGCTCGGGCATGGATGAAGTGCTTGCGTTCACGTGCCTAACATATAATATCCGCTTTGTTCCTTCGTTGCTGAGATTGACCTCTCCATAATACAGCGCTATTTATTCGTACCCATGACATAGGCTCTTTAACTATTCTTTTTCATGCCAGTAGACATCATAATGTGCAAACGGTGTCACATGCATTTTAATATATTTGAAGGATAAAATTTCGCACATTCAGGAATTGTTTGATACAGCCTCCCCTTTCTTTTGATATCTCTTAAATATGAAATTCATTTACCGAAAATCCAAAAAAGGTTATAGATACCAAAATCAGAGATCCGCCCTAAAAACGGTCTCCAATGACTAAAACCACTCAATATAAAATTGCATATCAAATTTACATATGACGCACATTCACAACCTCGCTCTCAGGGGTCTTCCCTTGAAAATCGGGATCAAATATCCGTAAGTAAAACAATTCCGAACAGTTTTAGGAATATGGGCTATTGTGGTAGTTATGAGTCAGAAATCATCGATGTCTATTTTTGAATGCACGACAGACAAGTACTCTTGTAAATCTTTCAATCAGAAATACTTTTTAGGCAAAACTGCTTTTGAAAAAATTAGTTTATCACTTTCGATATACCGAAAAATGGTCGGAAGTATACCCTTGACGCACGATATGTTATTTCATCGGCTGCTCGGAGGTAAAAAATTCTTGCTTTTCACCTCTGAACTAGCCAGTCGGTACGTGCATACCATGTTTTACATAGGACGCCTGAAGTCCCGAAGTCCCAAAAAAAGCACTACACCCTTGTTCCCTTTTTTCACACCTTCTGATTTTTGGGGGATTTTGTGTCCGGCTTTGAAGCAATTAGTTTTCCTCAATCGTAACATACTTTTTGAGCTTATAGAAGCTAACGTAATGATTCAGATTAGCGCCCAGGGCGACGACGACAGTGACGAAGACGTAGTTATTTGTAAACTGATTACTAATTTTTTTTATTAAGATTCAAAATGTCTATGATAACTTTAGGAAAAAGAAACAGCGTAAAAGTTATACTAGAAGTATCTGCCGATCATTGTGGCAGCTTGGTGAACTAAAAAGTATTTTATACAAATGTTTTCCAGGCCTATTCAAGATAATTGTTGCTCAGACACGGAACAAAATAGCATATAGTTTTTTTCAAATGTTTAACCCAAGCAACTCTTAGGTGGAACAAACCGTCCCAGTCAACTCAGTAATCACATCAATAAATATCAAAATCGAAAGGAGCCCTTACATAGTAAATTGCAAATAAGTCAATTTATTTTCAAATGAAAGCGTGCATGACCGAAATCTTTACCAAGTGATTTTTACTGTTAGAAAAAAAAACACAAACACTCACAAAAATTCCAAGGACTTCAAGGTCTTGAATATTCCTGCATGAAGGCTGCTAAGTTTGTTGTTGAAGATATACCTGTGATTTGATCGGAACGATTGTCAAAAACGCAAACAACGCTCTATATTTTCTGTTATGAAGCAATGTCAAAAACCCGGCTTTCTTCGTGTGGTCTCATGCACGAAATCCAACTGATCTTAGTCTAAAACCACAATGCTTTAGTAGCATCATAAATTCAGCTTATAGCAACACATTTGGAGCTTAGAAGTAAGTGGAGTAAAACTTTATTTAGACAGGATAGCCCTTTTTGCTCGAAGGCTGGTATCCATACGGGCCATGTATCGAGGTACAACTATGATCACAATATACTGAAACTTAAATTACGTTAAGAGCCATTGACCGTACGTAAATACTGAGAATCCGCTGACAGTTGAAAAACTTCGTAATTCAGTTTATTTTTCCTAAAGGACCCTTTTCCTGATAAACCATTTTTTTTATGAAACTTGAATCTACTGTTCCTTTGATCTGCTGTTCTACCTTGTTCTACCTTGTAGAATAGTTATGAATGTCAGAATGTACGAACGTTTGTTAGCAAGGCTGGCGTCATTGCTTTGGCGTTACTATAAAAAATAAAATTTCATTCAGCTGATTCGAAAGTTTTTAAGTTCATTGCTGCTAACTGAACACTGAATTGGCTTTCTACGTAATTGCACGACAGCGTCCATTTTTGACCATAGTAAAATAAAACTTTGCCCCTTATAATCAATGTTTCGTCGTAAAAATATTGGGATCGATGTTACTAATGTTTTCAGAAGTTGACGAAGTCGCTGCACGGCTCGGGCAATTTCTATACTCCTTCTGAAAACATCAGTGATATTAATCCTTCGTTTTATTCGGCCCTATGCGTTTACCTTTAAACAGTGGGAATATAAATATTATGCAAGGTAAATTTTTAATTTAATACACTCCGCCTGTATGCCTTCGCCAACATAGCAAATGTATTTTAGCTGCACGTATGCGAATTGAAACAAAAACTTAATCGTTGCAATTATGGAGAGTTTTCGGTAACTTAGTATTCACAGTATTTACGCCACACGAGGCTGCACACTACCCCCTTTCACAATCTGATCTGAGCTGTATGTTGGATGATTTGGTTTGGTACAGCTATCCCGATCACACAGCCATCGGAATGATGTCATAAGTTTACATCTCTCGTTTGTCTCGGTCGAGAAACTCCACTTCGTTCACCGCATTTCAGTCAATGTCAAAAAAGGACCCTGGACGGGTTTCCCGCGAGTACACCACATAGGTAAAACATGACTTGTCACAACCAAAAATTTATTCCGAAGTCAGTTCAGTGGTGTTGACGTCCCATTCCTCTATAAATAATTTTCTGATGTATTTGGCTGCAGCCACATTCATTTTAGTACTTCATTGCAAAGCAATTCAGCACTAAAGCCACGTAAGCTAAGGTGATATCCAGCCAAGTCATTATGAAAAATAATTATGTATCAACTACGTCTGATAGAGAATTAAGAGAACGTTTGAAGTTCAATCAATGGGGTAAAATTTAGGGTCGGTTCTGTTCCCGTTTTTAACCAATCTGAAATATCTGCATTGTTAAGAATATAGAGTGTGCTACTCGCGAGTCCTATAGCTGAGTCAATTTATCGAAAACGTTTGGTGGTAGTTCTTTTAACTTTGTCAAGTACTAACAAGGACATTGTACTATTGAGATTTTGAAAATTGACCGTAGGTACATTTACTTCCTATTTGTTTATCATTTTCCCCCATGCTGCTTTCTATTGAGTATATTTGCTAACAGGGCAACGTTCACCCATTTTAAAGCACTCTACATGTTATATTACATCTGCTCACCCTGCATCTTCTAATGAACTTGCTATGAGCTACTAAAATTAGAATTGTTTGGGAACTATTAAAATCAGGAATGTTCCGGCCAAGTGTTTGGGAATTGTTTACGTCTGTGAAATGATTTTGAAATCCTTGTGCGAGTCATATGGGCCTTGGTTTGTTCTGTGCTGCGAGACAACAAATTTATTTTTACCTTTTAGTGATGTGTCTTTGAGTGTTGAAATATGGTTTAATTCTCGTGCGATAATCGTCATCGCTGGTCATGTTTGGGTTTGTTCTTGACCTGAATTAGGGTCCTCATTGGGAAGTTTTATCTAAGTTTTTTTTAAAAATTACTTTAAAGTGTCTTAGGTTTGGCTTCATGATTTTTTGTTTACGGGTCCAAAGGTAGATTTTTCCTAAAATTATTATATAGTTGTAGAACATTGAATAACAACACTCAAACAGGATATGGCTTATTGTTTCGCGAAAGAAAAAATAAGTTTTCTCTAGATTTCAGTTCTCGAAGATTAGTTGAGATTGAAGTACTTTGTTGTTCATTTCCAATGTCTTGTGAAATTGTTTGGGTTAGCGTTATAAAAATATGTTCACTCTGCTTAGGTCAGTTGTTGCGTAAGCCCAAACATCCCTACCGTTAGGATATTTAAGAGCGTGTACTTGGGGCTGAATAACACACAGAGACTCAGTCTTTCAGATGAAGAGCCATTTAGAGTCATTAAGCAGAGAGGGAATGAAAGTTCTTTATCAAACTCCCGGTACCTCCGTTTGCACGAGTTTCTCAAGCTAGTTAACTCCATCAGTCTAACAAACTAAATAATCTTAAATTCGTCAACAGGTCTCTGATTAGCCTAAGCTTGGCCGAGACGACCAGCCAGGAAGTATTTCTTCACAGGTATTCGACAATTTTTCATTGTGTTAATTGTTACTCGTGAAAATAAGGTTGGGAATCCTTCTGCGATAGAGGGCCAGTCCGCTAACATCTTGAATGGAACGTGACGCTCAACGAATTTGCTTGAAATGGGCCATTTCCGCAATTCCCAGTGTTCTCGCGATATTTAAAAAATCTGGTGCCGAAATTACGTCGCGAGAACGAGGTTAAGTGGGAAGTTGCTCTCATCGGTAAAGAAAATAAAGTGCCGTGCTAGTGAAAATAAGCCAAACTTTCTGGAAATTCAATGTGGAAGAGAGAAAAGTAATTTGTGGGATGGAGGATATCAGTTAAGTGATGGCGGCAAAGGAAAGAAAAAAGGTAGAACTGTTCCTTTTATGCACTACAGCAATGAAGCAAATAAAACTAGCCGCTTCTGGAAAAGACCACAAAACGTTGTTGGATGCTTAGACGTACGCCTTCTTTAACATTTCAAAGTTCTTGTCCGTCGTCTGCATGCAGCCTTGCCTCAGTTGTTTTCATGTTATCACTTAATTGTTGCTTTTTTTTTCTTCCTGATTCTTACGTAGCGGGGGCCTACTGTAATTTTCGAAACGAAACATGACGAAACGAATTGGAAATCTATAATTTGCAAAATAAAAAGCTTTATTTTTCGAAATGAAGATCTGTATTTTGCGAAAAGAGAATACTCAGAGTAGCAGCATGACAAATACAGCTCATAAGCAGCGCATTTAAAAATGAGAAAAGAATTCCTAGGTAACGCTTAAAAACTTTCCGCAGATATTTTTGATTTTTCAGTGATTTTAATTCAATTTTTCTCGAATATTTACCTCCTTTGAAAATCATTTTTTACGCGACTAAGTTGTCCGATCATTGGGCGCTATCAATTTCTGTTCTGCAGTTTTGATCACATAGTTAACGATCTCTTAGTCAGATTTCCGGCCTCAGATGTAAAAATTTATTGGAGATATAAAAAATTGGAGAGGATGAGTTATCACCCAATAGGAAAAAGTACATCGGCTCAGTTAAGTTAGTGTAATTGTAATTACATGATACATGTGGACTACGAATATTATGTAAGGTTTTCCATACATCTCGCCCGTTTGTATTCTCCGACGTCGCAAATGTATTTAGGCAGTACGTCTGCCAATTGAAACAAAAAAACTGATCGCTGTAGTTATAAATGGAAAGTTTTCGGTTACTCAAAGTTTATTGCTTTTATTTCACAGGAGCTCACAATGTACCCTGATCATAACTTTTGATCTGCAAAGCTGGATCATGGTTCATATAGCATCGTACTGCTATCACGATCACGATTTTTAAGTCAAAGTAGAAATCTGCGTTCATGATTCCTGTAAATACTTAATCTTTTAATACTAGTGAACACGCATGTAACAGGTAAAAGACGCTTACTCTCGTTCATTAATCAATTAATCAGTTGGTATACACTTACAGTCCAGTTAAGTTGGTCAGGTTGTCGAATATTCCCTCCTGCAACGTATGGAGCTCGTTGTCGTTTACACCCCTATAGTTGGGTTTAAAAAAAAAAAACATCAGAAGTCCAGATTAAAGCAATCTATACTCTCTTCAACAATAGGTAGACCAGCTTATTCTCAGTTAAGATCGCCTCTAAAAGCTGCATCTATTCGTTCACTACCCGCTTGTGAGGGTATGACTGACGTTCTTGCTTCTACTCATTACTCCAATACTTATTTCAAGAATTATTCAGTTGTTCATTGTCAGGCTTGAAGGAAAATGATACCTGGTCAATTTCCAAATGGAATATAGAGAATACATGGCAATCCATTTCCCCATAGTTGCACAGATAAAAAGAAATCGAGGAACTGGTAATTATGAATGAGTGCAATTTATTTGAATCAATTGTCATCAGAATCCTTTTACGATATTGAAGAGCCCATTAAAATTTACGTCGCTCTCGACACTTAGCCCTCCGTCCCTCAGTTGGTAGCAAAAACCAAGCACTATCCGGTAGCACGAGTTTGATTCCTGGCGCAGCACGAATATCCTTGAAAGCTTCTTTTTTGAAATTTCTTTGAGCGAACGGTCAACTTGCAAGGATCACATCGTAAGTTAATTCTTATCCATCGATCAAATCAAATTCATTTCATTCAATTGTAATCAATTTAATAGACCGCTCGGTTAATTCAGTCCTACATAAGGCTACAAAAACAACCGACGTTTCACTTTTGTTTGTTGACAATGATCAGCAGACTCACTCAAAGGACGAATGATTACCTTGGTAAACAATACTTAATAATTTTTAACAAGGTTACAATTTAAAATACTTAAGTCAAGTCTATGAGAGAGAAACAACAGAAACGCCATACGAAACGAATTTGTCGATCATTGCGGCTGCTTGTTGAACTAAACAGTTTACGTTAATAAGTGTGTTAATAAAATGTTTTCGCGTTGTCTTTCTCTGCCTCTCTCCGCCAGTTTTGTTCTGAACAAATATTTGTTTTGAAGAATTAATCCCGAGGAGTCGTGACTCTTTCATTTTAGCGGAGCCTTTCTTTGCTCCCGCTGGGTGACACGTTGTTTAGAATGGAGTGTAATGTCTGTTGGTTTCTTAAATCGAGAACTCCCTGTTCAAACTTTCACCGCTATATATAGTTGTTTCTGAGAAAGTAGCTTCTGATATTTCAGGCGTTTTGATTAATAGATGGTGTTTATTAACTTTGTCAATAAACTGGTTGATGACATTGTCAATCGCGAAAATTAAGAGCCGCCAAAATGGTAAGGTAAGTTAGGTAAATTCAAGCCAAATCATTATCAAATATAGTTATATATCAACAATTTCTGACAAAATCTTGAGAAAATCTTTCACAGATATTTAATACTGCAATCAAGGACAATTTGGGACTGGCCCCGTTCCTGATTTTAAGCAGCTAGAGAGTGCTACTCACAAGTAATGCAGCTGAGTCAATTCATCAAAAATTTTGGTGGTAGTTCTTTTAACTGATTACCATTCAACTGCCGGTAATAAAGGATCTCGATGGCAGGTTAGTAATAACCATGACAATAATTATTGCAATTTTATGTAATTGAAAATAGAAAAAAGAAAAATTTAGAAAAAAAGTATCATGAAGAATCTACTTCGTTAAAATCGCTTCAATCGGTAGAGAAAAATATGAGCGATGCTTCCGACAACCGGCTTGTTGAGCATATCAACGTTTACTTCCTATTTGTTTATTTTGTGTTCCTTACTGCTTTCCATTGAGCATATTTGTTAACAGGGAAACGTTTGACATAATTGAAAGGCACTCAACATGCTACTCACAAGTTCTGTAGCTGAGTCAATTCATCAAAAACTTTTGGTGGTAGTTCTTTTAGCTGATTACCATGTAACCACCTGTAATAAAGGATGTGGATGGTAGGTTAGCAACAACTATGACAATAACCATGACAATAATTATGGCAATTTATTTGTTTATTTTATTTTCCTTACTACTTTCGATTGAGCATATTTGTTAACAGGGAAACGTTTGACATAATTGAAAGGCACTCAACATGCTACTCACAAGTTCTGTAGCTGAGTCAATTCATCAAAAACTTTTGGTGGTAGTTCTTTTAGCTGATTACCATGTAACCACCTGTAATAAAGGATGTGGATGGTAGGTTAGCAACAACTATGACAATAAACATGACAATAATTATGGCAATTTATTTGTTTATTTTATTTTCCTTACTACTTTCGATTGAGCATATTTGTTAACAGGGAAACGTTTGACATAATTGAAAGGCACTCAACATGCTACTCACAAGCTCTGTAGCTGAGTCAATTCATCAAAAACTTTTGGTGGTAGTTCTTTTAGCTGATTACCAACTAACCGCCTGTAATAAAGGATGTCGGTGGCGGGTTAGTAAAAACAATGATAATTATTATGGCAATTTATTTGTTTATGTTGTTTTCCTTACTGGTTTCCATTGAGCTTATTTGCTAACAGGGAAACGTTTCACATAATTCAAAGGAACTCAACATGTTTTTTGCTTTACTTTATTCTGCTCACCCAGTATTTTCTCATGAACTAAATAATAAACTAATAAAATCAGTAAATAACTAATGAGAAAGCCCTTTGATATTGTGCTTACACAGATTCGGTCACTCTATTTTTTGAATAAAAGTTGCTGTGACTAAAATTTTAACGATCGATTTCTATGATTTACAAAAAAAAGGAAAAAAAATATTCACGGATGAAGGCTGCTTAGTTTGTTGTTGTAAAGAGACCTGATATTTGAAAAGTTGTCAGACTTCTTTTCAAAAACGCATACAGCCACCTTTGGTATCTGTTATGAAGCAATGTCAAAAAACCTGGCTTTTCATTATTATATTCAGCGCAATCAGAGTTTGAAAACTCACTAACTGAGTAGCATTAAATGTTCAAGGTGAAGAGAAATATCTTGACACTGTATGAACAAAAATCCATAAAAAGCCTATTTTCCTCAGTTCTGGTCTTTTGTCCTCAAAAATTTGAAATATATATCGATATATCGATATTTCAAGCTCTTTTTAAATTTCCGTCACAGGTTTGAGTTATCGAAAGACGATAATAGAAGACCATCTATGCGAACCTAATGTGGTCTAAGTTAAGGGACTTTAAAAGAAGGACCTACTATAATGGTATGCGGCACTCTTACTTTTTCTTATTGTTCTTTATTATTTCGATGACTCACTAGTCTATTTTGATAAACCGTTCGGTTATGTACGAATACCTGGCCGAGTGCTGAGCGTCCTTTATTCACGATGGCTTCCAGGTCGGTCAGAGTTTTCTTTAAATTTCACTCTCATAAGATGTGTTCACTTCTCGATAGAAAGGATACGACCACTTTTTCAAGTTAAATGGAGGCTAAAATCCCAAACAACACAGCATGTGCTTGTCGTATCTATTTCCTTTGAAGCCATGATGATTTTGATCGCTCTGTCAGATTCTTGGCATCGGTTATTGTACTTCCAGTGTTCAGATTGGGTCACTCAATTTACTGAAGTGTTGCTTGCTGAATTCTTTTTCTCGATCACTTCCTCCAATCGGTTCCACAAAACAAAAAACTTGTTGAAAAGGCTGTGCACAACTTCATTGCTTCAGTTGTCGATGAGCTAAAACTCCAACGGAATTGAATGCTTGTCTAAGAAGTATTCCACCTCCTCTCGTATTATTGAAAACTTCTTGGATTTTAAATTGCTGAGTTCATTTTCAAATATTCAGAACAGGCTGTGTAAATTGAGTAGCATTGGATTTTGATTCAGTTCCGGTCACATAGCAACACCTCTGTTTTGTGATTTTTTTTTTTTTTTTTCAGTTTTGACAGTAGAAAGAAGCAGTGACTTCAATTTGTTTTAAGTTTTAAGAAAAAGAAAGTAAGCGACCACAGCAAAATCTGTAAGCGTTTTATTTGACCGAAGCTATAATTCCATTTGTTTGGGTTGGATACGTGACCGGTCACACCTAGCTTGGCGCTACGCCCTTCTTTGCTTTTATCATCCTAAAAGATCGTTTTCACGTGACGTCACAGAATTAATTTCCGCCGTGTTGGTGCACATTAAAGTCTCGTGTTTCATTATTACTATATGCAAACATGGTCCAATTTATAGTTCCGAAATTCGAAAAGAATTAAATGAATGGCGTCTACCGAAAAAATTGCTATTCCTTCGTCTGATCCAGACCATGTCGTCCAAATTCTTCTGTTTGATTACGTTAAAAGCCAGAGAGCGTTATCTAAAGAAGATCTCGACTATCAGAATCGATCCTGTTTTGATAGGTGGGAAACGCTTCGAGCCTGATGTCTTACTGTCAGTAGAATCGACTCATTTGCTCTGTTATTTTGTTTTCAGTACTAGCTATTATGCGCAAAAAAGCCTTCCTTAAAATCTGGATTATTACCGCGAAGGATAGGACAATAAACAGCGCTGATTGTTTGGGATGCAAGGCAGGCCTCGCCGAATCATGTTCGCTCATAGCTAGTGTGCTATTTTACCTTGAGGCCTGGACAAAGGTCAATGTAAAGCTTTCCTGTACGCAAATTAAGTGCCCTTTGATACTTCCCAGTTCCGCAAACAAGGTGGAATACTCTCGTGTCCGCGATATTTACTTTAAATCCGCTAAGAAAATGAAAGCCGACCTTGATGAAACGATAGAGAATCTCAATGAGGGACTTCAGGTTTCTGAGAACTCGGAAGTCTTCTCTGGAAGCCGCGTTCAAAAACCGGAGGTGCCAGCGCCGACGCAAGCGGAAATGGAAAACTTCTATTTTGACCTCAGCAAATGCAAAACAAAGCCTGTGTTGCTGAGCTTAGTGCCCCCTGCTGATTCGACATCGAAGGAAATGTCGATAACCTTCACTCCAGGTTCATCAATTATTTGTTTTTTGGACTCGATTTCTTCCCATAGCTGCCTTTCACGTTCTCCTGCGAAAGGTTTCAGCTCACGACCTCTGGCTCTCTCGTCTCGCTTGGCGGCAACTTTAAGATCGGCTTGAAGCTTTTCGAAAGAACCACATTTCTGATGACCTAGATTTTGGGTCGGAAGCAAATCTGGATCGTAACGATCCCACAGTTTAGCAGCTTTTCCGGAGATAAAATGTTTACCACAGACCCGGCCGTGGAAAGTTTCCGTACTTCTTCTCGTCGACTAGTAATGATTAAAGGTATTCTTACCATGTCAAGTCCTTTATCGCGACCACTTCGGGTCCCAAAGCTAAAAATCGCGCATAAAACCATTTTTTTATCATAAACACAACTTCTGGTCATATGTTTACAGGCAAGTGATGTGCACCAGTATGGCGGCCAATTAAAATGGGATCACGTGACTGAAAACGATCTATATTTAACACACGATCGTGGACTAGCTGTTAACTATACGCACAACTGTACGTAAATACATGACGTGTGAGTTGTAACAAACTGCATCTTTACAGTCAGTTTAGCTGTCAGTTCCTTCTAACAAAATATTACAAACAGTTGGTCATGCGAGTTAAAAAAAAAAACTGGCTCAGGCCGGGTCTTCCAAATTGGTATTACTGTCCATATAAATACCAGTGTGGTAGCCGCCCATGGAAAGACCTTTGCCCCTCGAGCAATGCTTCTCTCGTGCTCACAATTGCCATCAAAAATTTTGCCCGTAAAGAAGGAGAATGTTGAATAAATATGTTTGATTTAGAACAAACCTAGGAATCCATCAAACAAAATGTTCAGGGAGGCATTTCAAGTGTATGTGGTTGTACATGCTCCACCAACATGATGTTGAACAAAACATATTTGATCAGGACTAGAGTATACAGTTGACTCAGACGTAACTATCCCTTATTTGGCTGAGCTCAGTGTTCACCTTAGATTCTTCGATTTCCATCTGATCATGTCAATGATCTTTAAAATAAAGAGATTTGCATCCAGCTCCCGGGCAGAATAGAAAAGAGAGTCTCTGCCAGAACTGCTATGTCGCACATGATGGCCTGCGGTTTTGTTACTATTATGCGCACGCATGCCATGTGTGCCTGTCGTTGAATGTAAACCGCCATGTTTGATTAAACCTTGTTGTGTTGTACTAGTTTGATTCATTCAATTCCGCGAGACACAACTGATTGGCGACTAGGATTCAGATCCTACGCAGCAACCAGAGAAACTTCGAGCTTTCGCCACTATGCCGATTGGAAAGATTGAAGCGTTTGACGAAACGAACAACGATTGGAACGCCTATGTGGAACGTGTAGAGCAATACTTCTTCGCCAACGAAATCAAGGACAACAAGCAAGTGGCCGTAATGCGAAGCTTAATGGGAAACAACGTATGGATTACTACGCAATTTGGCCGCCCCAGCCAAGCCATCCAGCCTGTATTTCAAGACTATCGTAGAAACTCTACAGAAGCATCTGTCACCGAGACCACTGCTCACAGCAGAGCGATTCCGCTTTCACAAAAGGAACCAGCTCGAAGGTGAAACCGTAAGTTCTTACCTTGCTGAATTAAAGAAATTGTTGCTGTATTGTGAATTCGGAACTAACTTGAATGACGCGTTAAGAGATAGACTAGTGTGTGGACTACACAATGAACTTATCCAGAAACGGCTGCTCTCCGAGCCAGATTTGTCATTGGCCAAAGCGTCAGAAATTGCCTTAGCAATGGAAGCGGCAGCGAAAGACACACTAGAATTGCAGGGTAACATTAATAAAGAGTCTGAAGTCAACAAAATAAACAAGGATAGCGAAAGAGTTCCTAAAGGGAAAGATGATGTCAAATCAAAATCTCAGTGTTATCGATGTGGGGGTAGTACACACGAGTCAGCCGAGTGTTACTTCAGGTATAAAACATGCCGAAAATGCGGAAAATTAGGCCATATCCAAAGAGTATGCCGCTCAGGAAAGAGTCAGAACTCTACCCGAAGACGAAGGGACGAGAACCCCAACCTTCACTCGTTCGAGGTTGATGATGAGCGCGATGATGATAGCTTGGTGGCATCCCTAGAAGTCAACAATGTTAACCATGGGGTAGTTGGTAACGTCATCTGGGTGTAACCAAAAGTTAATGGCCACACACTGAAGATGGAGCTAGACACAGGTTCAGCGATATCTACACTCCCCTTGGAGACGTATAAGGAAACCTTCCCAAACACACCTCTGATTGACACTACCGCTATTTTGAAAACCTACTCAGGAGAGGAGATGACACCAGAAGGCAAACTACTTGTTCGCGTGGAATACAACAACCAAGTCAAGGACTTAACGTTATATGTAGTGAAAACACAAGGGCCGGCGTTGTTTGGAAGAGATTGGCTACACCAGATACAACTCGATTGGAAAAGAATCTGTGCTATTTCAAAAGAACAGCCGACACAAGACACCCAGAAGAAATTAGAGAGACTCATAGACTACTATAGTGAGGTGTTTAAGGATGAAATCGGCACATGTAAGTCAGCCAAGGCGAAACTCGCGTTGAAGGAAGGCAGTCAACCAAAGTTTTTTAAAGCAAGGCCTGTCCCATATGCCATGAAACCTAAGGTCGAGGTGGAGCTGAAACGTCTAGAAAAAGAAGGCATACTACGAAAGGTCAAATTCAGCGATTGGGCGACGCCTATTGTGCCAGTTGCCAAATCAAACGGCACAGTTCGAATTTGTGGCGACTATAAGACCACAGTTAACCCCCAGCTTCAGACAGAAGAGTACCCACTCCCACGCATCGATGACATATTCGCTAAGCTAGCAGGAGGGCAGAAGTTCACCAAGATTGACCTCAGACAGGCCTACCATCAGATGGAAGTGGAGGAAGAGTCACAAGAGTACTTGACGATTAACACCCATCAGGGGTTGTACCGATACAACCGCCTGGTATTCGGGATCACTTCAGCTCCAGCAATTTGGCAGAGATCTGTGGATCAAATCTTAGAAGGGGTCGAAGGAACTAGTTGCATCTTAGACGACATGATTATCACAGGAAAAGATGACAAAGAGCACCTTGAAAATCTGGAGGAAGTACTGAAGAGGCTACAGGCAAGTGGCCTACGAACAAACCGCGAGTAGTGCGAGTTTTTCCAGACGAAGATCACTTACTATGGACACGAAGTAGATCGGCACGGGTTACACAAGACTCAAGAGAAAATTCATGCAGTTGTTAATGCCCCAAGACCAGAGAATGTCCAGCAACTCCGTTCATTCTTAGGCCTGGTAAACTACTACCACAAGTTCTTGCCAAACCTTGCCACCACACTCAATCCCCTTAATGGACTATTGGAGCAAGGAAAACGATGGAAGTGGACCACAGAGTGCGAAGAAGGCGTTCCACTCAGTAAAGAAGCTGATCACATTGGATATGGTGCTCACCCATTATGATCCTGGACGGCCATTGAGACTAGCCTGTGACTCCTCACCAGTCGGAATTGGGGCAGTTTTATCGCACATCATGGAGGATGGCTCAGAGCGACCCATAGCCTTCACATCACGTACCCTAACCAAAGCAGAAAGGAACTACTCCCAAATTGATAAAGAAGCCCTAGCCTTGGTTTGGGGAGTCAAGAAATTCCACCTTTACCTGTTTGGTCGTCATTTCACACTCGTGACAGATCATGAGCCCCTGACCTCAATTTTTAATCCTAAGAAAGGAATACCAGCAATGACAGTTGCTCGCTTGCAACGTTATGCGTTGTTTCTAGCAGGGTTGAATACAGTATTGAGTACAAGAACACAACCCAACATGGAAACGCGGATGGATTGTCACGCCTACCTCTAAAGAAAGCCTGTGACAAGGAAGTGGTTGACCCAGTGGAGATTTTTCAAGTATCCTAGATAGAAGTGCTGCCAGTCAACGCAGATATGATCCGTCAAGCAACTCAGAGAGATCCGGTTTTGACACGTGTGATGGAAAACACAAAGCAAGGGTGGCCAACTGTTAGTGAGAAGGAGCTGGAGCCATTTCAGAGGAAGAAAGATGAGCTCACCATACAGGATGGCTGCCTTATGTGGGGCTCACGAGTGGTAATCCCACCCAAGCACCAGGCACAACTGTTAGCTGAGCTCCATGAAGGCCACCTTGGAATCGTTAAGATGAAGGCCTTGGCCAGGAGCTGCACGTGGTGGCCAGGGATGGACAAAGCAATTGAAGAAGTAGCAAAGGAGTGCACTGGCTGTCAACTTACCCAGAACAACCCTAAGACCGCTCCATTCCACTCATGGGAGTGGCCGGTACGACCATTTCAACGCATTCACTTTGACTTTGCTTGCCCATTCTTAGGAACTATGTTTCTGATTGTTGTAGATGCACATTCTAAATGGCCCGAAGTGATACCACTACAACTGCCAGCAGAACAATTGAGGAACTGAGAAAGCTCTTTGCCACACACGGCTCACCAGAACAGCTTGTAAGCGATAATGGACCTCAATTCATAGCAGATGAATTCGGAGAATTCATGCGAAGTAATGGTATTAAGCACATTAAGTCAGCTCTGTACCGCCCAGCCACAAATGGAATGGCTGAACGTTCTGTACAGACATTCAAGCAAGCTCTCCACGCAGCGCTGGCGGAAAAGAAATCTATCTCTTAGAAGCTGGCAAACTTTTTGCTGGCCTACAGATCAACCCCACATGCATTGACTGGAGAGACACCAGCCGTGCTCCTCATGGGGAGAAACATCAGGACAAGGCTTGATATACTGAAGCCTAACTTACGGAAGCGAGTGGAAGACAAACAACAAGATCAGAGAGTTACGGTCAATTCACAGCCCTGCCAGAAAGCTAGAGTTAGGCCAAGCTGTGGTTGCCCGAAACTACAGAGCTGGAAACAAGTGGGTTCCGGGGATCATCACAGCTCACTCGGGACCCTTGTCATATGAAGTCAAGGTCGCACCCAATACAGTATGGCGACGGCATGTTGATCAACTCAGAGAGTCTGCAGTGACTCCAAAATTTAATAAGGAACAGCACACACTGCGATTAAACCCAGCGGTGTTGGCAGCAACACCACAATCAGCAAGTAGCGTGGAGAATGAAGAATTACAGGCTCCCACTACGAGTGGCATGGAGGAACTATGGACCAAAGATACACATGTGGACAACACCCCTGACAACCCTCCCAGCAGCCAAAGCGAGACCATGGTTAGCAGTCCGGCAACACCACCATGCAGACGTTATCCCCTTCGGCTACGGAAGCCACCAGAGAGACCGAACCTGTAACTGAACTGAACTTGTGCGTTATTAATAGAATGTGATTTAAGTGGGGAGGAATGCTATGTCGCACATGATGGTCTGCGATTTTGTCACAATTATGCGCACGCATTCCATGTGCGCCTGTCGTTGAATGTAAGCCGCCATGTTTGATTAAACCTTGTTGTGTTTTAAAAGTTTGATTCATTCAATTCCGCGAGACACAACAAGAACTTAAACCCGCACCTTTCTATCCCAGGTCCAACGCGCCAAACATTAGCCATAATAACGATAAGACCACAAGGTCACGCGCAAATATTGATTTTACCTTTCATATGCTGCATAATGATAAAATATTTATCAACCAGTTTACAATTATTGGTAAACAAGCTAACTGGAAGCTGGTCATCATGTTGGTTCGTAATAATCCCGATAAGTGATGAATCGATGATTGCGATCATTTCTTAAACAGCAGTTGCTAAAACCAAACATTCATTATCGATGTTTCATATAATCATATGTCAAAATAATCCAGCAGTTTAGCTCGGAAACAATGCAAGGTCAGCGAATACCAAGCCAAATCGTTATCGAAAATTGTTATATATTAGTTATATCTGATACGAACTTGAGAAAGTGTTTCGTTTGCAATCAAGGAAAGATTTAGAATTGCCCCTGTTTCTGATTTTATCCAGTCTTGTTAATAACCGCATTATTCATAGAGCCGAAGAGTGCTACCCACAATTTCTGCAGCCGAGTCAATTAAAAATGTTTGGTGGTAGTTCTTTTAACTGATTGCCCTTTAACCACATGGGATAAAGGATGTCGATGGCAGGTTAGTAATAACAATGACATATAGTATTGAAACGTTTTACATTTTCTCTCAGTATCATCATTTTTTCCTTGCTGATTTGCACAAAGCATAACAGGACAAAGTTTCCTTCTATTGGAAAGCACTTTACATGTTTTGTCCTTCCCTATGATCCGCTCACCCACTATTTTCCAAAGATAAAATACTTCTTTCCGTATAGCACGTTGGCTTCGTCGATCTCACGATCGCGTTTCTACCCAAAATATGCACAGCTCATCCAAGATAATTTAGGGTAGACGTAAGGGCATTCATGACGATTACAACGAATTAAAAAAAAAACTAAGTATTAATTATATACTTAATTTATTTCATTGCATTGTTCATGTTACATTTGGCTGTTAAGAAGTTCAGACTAGAACAGTCTATTCTCTCTTCAACATTGGGTAGACCAGTTTCTTCTTGGTTGTGATCGATTCTAAAAGCTGCAGCTAGTCATTCATTACCCGCATGTTAAGTTACGACTAACGTTCTTGCTTTTACTCATTATTCCAATACTTATTTCAAGGATTACTCCGTTATTTATTGTCAGGCTTGAATAACAGGTAAGCATGAACAAGTACAATTTATTTGAATTAATTTTCATCAGATTCCCTTACGATAATGGCGAGCTCACTAAAATTTGCCACGCTCTCGACTCTTACTGTCTCTCAGTCGGTAGTAGCGACCAAGCACTATTCGATAGCACGAGTTTGAATCCAGTCGCAGCACGAATATTTGTTATGCTTCTTTTTTGAAATTTCTATAGACGCACGGTCAACTTGCAAGGATCCTACCCTCAGTAATTTATCATCCTTGGTCAAAGTTTAATTCTTAAAAGACCGCTCAGTTAATTCAGTCTTACATAAGGCTAAAAGAAGCAACCGACATGTTACTTTCCTTTGATGACACTGATCAGCACTCACTCAAAGGATAAATAATGAGTTTACTATACAATACTTATTATTTTTAATAAGGTTAAAATTTAAAATGCTCATGTTATGAGAGAGAAACAACAAAATCGCCATACGAAACGTATATGTCGATCAATGTAGCAGTTTAGTGTTCAACTTGGTTGATGACCTTGTCAATCGCGAAAATTAAGACCCGCGAAAATGGTAAGGTACGTTAAGCGAATTCCAAGCCAAATCATTACCAAAAATAGTTCAAGATCAACAACGTCTGATAAAATCTTAAGAGAATGTTTCACATAAATTACGTGCTGCAATCAAGGACAATTTAGGATTGGTCCTGTTCTTGATTTTAAGCAGCCAGAGAGTGCTACTCACAAGACGCAGCGTATTGGCTGCTCATTCAGAACTCAGAAAAGAATCATTAAGTAACGCTAAGTTAAATTATTTTGTAAATAAACCTCTTCTGGCGGCTAGGACACGTAACTAAACGGCAGATGACAGTGTGGAAAAGCAGTCTGAGCATCATTTATAACTTTTAAGGAAGCGATCTTCGAACTCAGTCGTAAACAATTATCATGGACTTTAAGCATAGATTTTATTGAAAGGCTTTTGACTTCAAAAATGTAGTTTTACTGTGATATTGCTGGTAGGATAGAAATCGGGTCTTTGCAGGGCCGTACCTTTAGTCCTTGACTCCTGTGAAACGTAGCAGCATGAAAAGCAGCTTATAAGCAGCACATTTAGAAATGAGGAAAGAATTCCCAGGTGACGCTTAAAACTCTCCACAGATATTGTTGACTTTTCAGTGACTTTAATTCAATTTTCTAGTATATCTTCTTACTTGGAAATTAATTTTTTTTTTTTTTTTTTTTTTTTTTATAGATACGACTAAGTTGTCCGATCACTGGGCTCTTACATTTTTAATTACATCGATTACATCGACCACGATCTCTTTATAAAATTTCCGGCTTCAGATATCACAATTTATTTTTCAAATTGGAGAAGACGAGATATCACCCAAAATCAAAGTGCGCGTCGCTTTAGTTCAGTTAGTGTAATTATAATTTCATGGTACTTGGGGACTATAGATATTTTGTAAGGTTTTCCATACATTCTGCCTGATAGTA